TCATGGATAAAAGAGACAATGGGAGGAGGGTTGGACAGGGCAGAGGGTTAGGGATAGGGAATCAAGGATGGCAAAAAAAAAAACGCAAAATATACAAGACATAAGAAATGAAAAATTGTTGATAACACGTATGTTGATGTGCTTGATTGAACCAACAGACAGTGTATTTTGGATGAAAAATTCATTTTGTATACTGTATAGTATATTAATGTTAAAAAAAGAAAAATAAATAAAAAATAAATAATAATAATAAATAAATAAAAATAAAAAATAAAAATAAAAAATAAAATAATAATAATAAAAAAAGCTAAGAAACAGGATACAAAGGGAAGAAATCTGAAGCCAAGAAGGCTGATGCCAGTGGCAAGGTTAAACATGGTGACCCCAAGGCTTTTTAAAAGCCCAAGCAAGGGAAGCCTATTGCAGCTGAATCCCAATCTTAGTCCGAGGCATTGGCAGATACTCCTCATCTGCACATATCCCAGGAAGGCCATGTACCAGAGGAAGTACTCGGCCACTAAAATCAGGATTGAAAAGGAAAAGGGCGAATGTTTTTGCCACTGTCACAAAACCAGTTGGTGGGGACAAGAATGGTGGTACTCAGGTGGTTAAACATTACAAAATGCCTAGGTATCATCCTACTGAAGATGTACCTTGAAAGCTGTTGAGCCAGAGTCAAAAACCCTTCAGTCAGCGTGTGAGAGAGCTGCGAGCCAGCATCATTCCTGGGACCATTCTGATCATCTTCACTGGATGCCGCAGAGGCAAGAGAGTGGTTTTCCTGAAGCAGCTGAGCAGTGGCTTGCTCCTGTGACTGACCTTCTGGTCCTTAATCGAGTTCCACTATGTAGAACACACCAGAAATGTATCATTTCCACCTCCATGAAAATTGGTATTAGTAAAGAAAAAAATCCCAAACTCCTCACTGATGCTTTCTTTAAGAAAAAGAAGCTGTGGAAGCCCAGATACCAGGAAGGCGAGATTTTCAACACAGAGGAGGAGAAATACAGAATTAGAACAGTGCAAGGTTCATCAGAAGACTGTGGACTCACAAATTTTACCAAAGTCAAATCTGTGCCTCAGCTCCAGGGCTATCTATGTTTGCCCTTACAAATGGAGTTTATCCTCACAGATTGGTATTCTAAATTTCTTTCCAAGAATATAATCAAATAAATGATACATACATATTAAAAAATTAAAAAACAAAAAATAAATCAATAACATCATGATCTGATCAGGCACTGTATGTGAACAGAGACTGGGAAGAAATTAACAAACTTAAGAAATGGCAGTGTTTTCTGGGAACAATTTCTGTAGCATCCACGGGGACAGAAAGGTCAAGCAGAATGAAGGTAAAGAACTTTCCTGGAAGAGCTCATGAAAAGGCCAGGGGCTCTGACCTCAGTCTCAACTAGCAAACGTGAGGCTGCTAACACATCTGGCCTATTACCTGGGTAAATAAAAGAAACATAATTTTAGAAAAAAAATAGCAAAATAAAAATCAAACATTCAAAACAAATTTTTGATCATTCTGTTTATTTCACTGAGGACGCTCAGTAAACATTGTTTTTAAAGGTTACCTCAATTAGGAACCTCTTTAGTCCTTCATCAATTATTTCAAGTGTTCTAGTCACAAATACATCCCTTTCTTCTATAAACTTCTGAAAGAGATGAACACCTCCACCTACACCAAAATAATGTGCTTTGCTAGCCAAGATCACCCGTCCATTTTTACCTAACAGTCTAAGGAATGTCTGGTGCAAAGCAGGGTAATAATCTGGATTGTAAATGGTTTCTGAAGTAAGAATGAGATCATATTTTACAAAGAGTTTCTCACGACTTAGTACAAGCTTGCAAAATTCAGACCATTCCCCAGAAAAGAATCGGCATTTACATAGTTCTTGTGTTACTTTGGACTTCCTGCATCTTTTCACATCTGGCCCACTGACATTTTCTTCACCTTCCAACATGGAGTTAGCCACTACATTAGGTAAGGTTACTTCATCAATCACCATACTGTTATAATCTTGAAAATGAATTTCTTTGGCTCCTCCTTTGAATGCAATTATACCTAGCAGCCCTGATCCACAACCAAGATCCAACACTTTTTTCCCAGCAAAGTTTACTTTGGCCTTTGTGAGATAAGCTAGGAGGTCAAAAGTGCATTCCCAAATTTTTAAGCCTCCTTCATAAACTCCCGTAATCAGATCAGAGTGAAAAGAAAAGCTTTTTGAAATGATGTTTTCTCCTGGGAAGTCCTCTTTCAGCACGATCGTTTTCACTGCTGACAGGTTAACATGCTGGAGACCTGGTACTGCTTCAATGACTTTATTTTCTAACACCTTCTTCAAGTCTTCAGGCACAGCATGCTCTTTGGCAACTTTTGAGCACGGCTCTTTCTCGGGTGGCTCTGAGTTCCGGGAACTGTCAGCTGCACGGAGTGGGCAGTCTTGACCAGAAGCTGCATTTTCTCCTGACGTAGGTTCCCGCAGGTGACCCTGCAGCAAGTCACACTGCTCTGCAGAACATCTTCTGTCCTCCTGATTTCCTTTTTGACTTTCTAATATTGATGACTCTTTTGAGGAATCCAGGGTTAAAGCTCCATCTCTAAGGGTCGTTAACTCATTTTCTAACTGGTCTTCAATAGTGAAATTAAACTGGAAGGTCATCTTCTTGTTAAATGCACACAAAAATCCTTAAATTCAAAGGATACTTCAGTTTCTGGATAAGAATTTGAAGACACACATCAACTTGTCTCCATTATTCAGTTAGTCTTGTTGGGGTTGATTTCTCTGTAGGAGCTTATCCAGTATTACAAATACCGATGGTTCCTAAATTTTTAGAGATCTTTGCTACTCTTTCAATTTAGCTCTGGAAGAAAAATAAGGGGGAAATGATGGTTAAAGCAAAACACCTCATTTTATTAAAATGTAACATTAAATGGTCCCCAACCAATGCAGCTGCTTTTTTTTCTTTTTTGAGAGAAAGATTTTTGCTATAGGGCATATGTGCTCACCAGAGAGATGGAGAGAGACAGAAAGCAAGAAATCATCCCCCACAATCCCCTCTCCTTCATTCTCCTCAAGATTTTAGGCACGTACAATCACCTGCCCAGCAAGTTTCAAGACTCCAGGTCTGGGACATGAACTACTATTGGCCATGTGAGAGCCCAGTGATGTAACTTTTATACCAGCTGCTAGCCACTCAGCTGCCTTTTCTATAAAAGCTTAGGGGTAGACCAGTAGATGGAGTAGTGGTTATGTTACTAGACTCCCATGTAGTCGATAGCAGTTCAAGTACCAGACCCAGAGCCTTAAAACTCACACCAGGTGCATGTGTGCTTAAAATCCCAAGAGGAGATTAGAGAAGGCACTGTGGCACAGGCAAAACCCTAGGAGGAATTTCTCATTTTCTCTGTCTATCCAATGAGCATACATACCCTACAGCAAAAATGTCTCAAAAAAAAAGAAAGAAAGAAAGAAAGAAAAAAGAAACGTTTGGGGGAAGAGAAAAATAAGAGATTTGAAAACACTCACAAACCTTCAGGGTTCAAAAACAGAAGATAAACTGTAATAACAAACAAAGGAAGCAACAACAAACAGAACAAAAAGTTCAGTATTTTCAGACAGCACAGCCTGGCACTTGGTGTCTTTATGCTGTCTTGACTGCGCCTAAGCATATTCACCCCAAAACTTCCAGATTTTCTTTACTGTTTGCTCCTGTCTCAAATAGCAGGAGTGTGAGATTTTATTTCAGTTAAGCGAGCACTCCTTTTACATGCACATTTATGGTCTGGGGTGTAAATTCGTCCCAATGACCTGGTTACACACCTTTAGTCTCAGCAGCCTTGAGAGCAATTAATGAAGACACAGTACCAATAAACGTGCAGCAAACACAAAATCAGGGCAACACGGTCTTGAAAGACTTGTAGAGAAGCTTTCTAGCTGCTAGACACTTACCATTTCTTTATGGTTAGAATGTTCAAGAAACTCTCTTCTAGCTATATTTGAAAAACGATTTATATTATTGTAACGATAGTTTCTCTAGCAGGGTATGCATAGAACTCTAGAACTAACCCTCACTGTGTCTTCGTACCTATTGACCTGTCTCTTGCCAGCCTCCTCTCCACTCGTCTTCCCAGCCTCTGTAACCACTATTCTACCCTTTACTTCAATCTTTTCTTTTCCTTTTTAGCTTCTACACATAAATGAGAACTTGTAGTATTTGTCTTTTCTGTTCCCAGTTTATTTCACTTAGCATAGTGTCCTCCAAGTTCATCATGCTGCTTCAAGCGACAGGCTTTCCTTTTTTACGGCTGAATAGTATTCCACGCATGTATTAAAATATCACATTGTACCCCAAATATGCGTATAATTACTATGTGTCAATTAAAATTTTTAAATAGAATTGAGAGTAACTCTGAACTTGAAAAGAGAAAGAAAAGAAAGTGGAAGTGACTACAAAAAAAGAAAAAGAAAAAAAAGTAGAAATGACTTAATTAGGACTCTCCTGTCTGCTCTACTGGAAAGGTTATGCCGCCTACTTCAGTTAGCACGGTATTTCTGGCAGGTGGGCTCCCCAGCTCGCAGACGCCGGGCACCCGCCCCGCGGTGGCACTGGGAGTCACTTTCGGCTCGACTCTCAGGGCGCCCGGCTGCAGGGTCGATCCCAAGCCCTGGGCGGTGGCCTAGAGCCTGCCCCCGACCGCGTCCCGTTCCCGCCCGCCCCCGGTAACCTCATG